GGCAAGTTCCGGTGGAGTCCTAGAGCCCTCTTCGAGGCAGTAGGCAAAGCTCTGTTGGTAGACGAGCTCGATAGCCCAAAGCGCGGTTACTGCTACCGTGTACTCGACGTCCGGTCCCATCAAACTCTCCAAAAACCTGTTGCAGCAACGTCAGTGTCTTAATATCACAGATCTTAAAATCGTGCTATAGATCTCGAGAGCTCTTAATTTCAAAGCTCAAGAGTGTTTTGCGCGATGACCCACCTGCAGTAGTCTTCGTTCACCTTCTGAGGGGCAATGGAAGACAGTACAACGCCCCATTTGGAGGCTTCTTTCTTGAACCATGCAATCTCGTCGTTTAGAGCAGCCAAGCCGCTTAGTAAGACTTCCATGTCGGAGTTATCGTCGGACTCCCGGCAAGCCTTCAGTAACACGCTTGATACAAAAGGAACAAAAGCTCTAACAAACAAGTAATCCTGTCCCTGCATTTTTATCCAATCCAACTCAACAACTTAAAAGTTTTTCAACTGGTAAAATTGTGAAGGAAACACAGCAACTGTGCTTCAGTTCTGCAACTTCATTGACACAATAAAGAAACAAGTCGGCCGTTCTTCTCTAAAGTCTCGCATTAGAACAAGCGCATATTCTGGTGCATTAGAATTTTCCTCAAGATTCTCAAGTCATACATTGCAAATTCTCACGGACAGTTCCATTATCGTCTGGCTTTAAGCAACGAAAAACTACTATATTACAGCTAAGTACCAACAGATTAGGATGAAATGTAAGATCTTTCCATGTCCTTCCACGGAAATCAAGCACTTCTCTGAATTTGATTATGCAACTGTTTGTTCCAAAAGCAAAGCTTAAGCAGGCTCGGTCATGGAGTTGTGATGTCAACAATCAACACCGAATTGACAATCGGTCAGGCCGCCTAGCTCTGGTCATGACTCGTGTCGAAACAAGTTTCGGCCGTTTCCTCATAGCTTGTCAAAACAAGGAAGAAACACATATCATTCTCCTAACCACAAGAAATCGGAGCCATCTCGCAATTCCTCTGCTATTTAATAGAGTACATAGAATCCTAACCTGAAGTCTAACAAAAAAGAACCATCGGCACATCTAATCCGAATCATCCAGTATCCATGTAAGAGCGATTTTCGTCTAATCTACGAAAATCCCACTAACTTGTCCAAACTATTACACCTCTCCGCACATACCTTTCCTGTCCCAAGTACGCCAAAAGTTCATATCTTTCGCCTCAACTAGCATTCATCAACAAATTATCAAGAAAATCTGACCCAAAAGCTCAAAGTCAGAACATCACCAATGCATGAATGAATGGATGAATGGTTAAAAGTGGGTATTCGAGATAAGACAGCGGTCAAAGTCGCTAACTTGTCCGAACTATTACACCTCTCTGCACACTCTGCACACACCTTTCCTGTCCCAAGGACGCCCAAAGTTCACACCTTTCGCCTCAACAAGCATTCATCAACAAATTATCAAGAAAATCTGACCCAAAAGCTCAAAGTCAGAACATCACCAATGCATGAATGAATGGATGAATGGTTAAAAGTGGGTATTCGAGATAAGACAGCGGTCAAAGTCACTAACTTGTCCGAACTATTACACCTCTCCGCACACACCTTTCCTGTCCCAAGGACGCCAAAAGTTCACACCTCTCGCCTCACGAAGCATTCGTCAACGAATTATCAAGAAAATCCGACCCAAAAGCTCAAAGCCAGAACATCACCAACGCATGAATGAATGGTCAAAAGTGGGGTATTCGAGATAAGACAGCGGGCAAAGCGCGATTTCTACAGAGACGAAGCGAATGAAGAAGCACGGATGCAGCAGCCCGTACCAGCCACCGTTTGAAGGAGCTGAGGTCGATGGACCCATCTCGGATGCTGAGGATCATGGGGTGCCTGGTGGCCGCGGTGTACATCAGGGGGTCCTTCTTCAGCCACGTCGCCGTCGTCCCCTCCACCTCCGCCACCTGCTCCAGCCCCGCCTCCATGGCTCCCTTTCTCCCCACCTCGGTCTCTGTCGGTCTCTCGGCTTCTTCGACTTACCGTACCGTTCCATAAAAATTGGATCGTTGTAGGCTTCTTGGACCGCTTGGGGGCTCGGACACTACGGATTTTGCTGGCACATACGTGGCAATCTACGCCGTTTTCCTTAGCAATACTTGTATGATCCGTACACGTGAGTTCGGTTGCTTCCCAGCCGTTCGATCATGCAAATTTCACGTGAGAATCATATAATCAATGTGTACGCATGAGCTCGGTTGCTTGCCACCCATTCGATCGTGCAAATCTCACGTGTGAACCACATGGTCGGCAAATTAGATCGGTCGGGTGCATATGATTCGGTCGTGGCCGTTAAACGATGCGAGCCCTATAAGAAGTTTGACCGAAAGGATTTAACGATTGAGACTAAGGAGACGATTAAAGTTGTAAATGTAAAGTGAGCATTTTAATAAGGATAATGACATAAATGATTTTTTGAACTTTGACTTAACGTGTAATGTTGTCTCTAAATTTTAAATTTGTTTAATGTGGTTCCTGAATTTTTAATTTGTTCAATGTAATTTCCGGACTTTAGGTACATGTTTAATTGAATATTTTTGAATATATACCAAAAGTCCAGGGATCACGTTGAACAAATTAAAAGTTTAGAAACTATATTACACATTGGGTTAAAATTTAGGGACCAAATTAAACAAATTGAACGTTCAAATATCACATTATACAATTGAGTTGTTAAAGTTGACAAACTATTTGTTTCATTTTCTCTATTTTAATTTAAAGCAAGATTCTACACTTTTCTCGGATTTACAAATGCCTACGTGGTCGGCAAGAGCTCCAAAATAAAGATGATAACGAAGCACAAACGGTTCAGAGGGGAGGGAATTTCTAGGCCTCAGATTTGGCTCCCGTTGAATCTTTTCTCTCTGTTTTGGAATTTTAGAAATATCAAGAATCAAGTATGTATGACATACCAAAAAAGTAATAACTATGTCTCAAATCGAATGTTTAGAATGCGAGTGCGAAACTCTTATGGTAATGCATAGGAGGAGTTGCTGACATTGATCAAATAACACAGTTGATGTAATGACTCGGTGGTGGAATTTTACACAAACCGGTTTCCGATCATAAGGTGTAGGATTGGTGAAGTCACGGAAGAGATTTTCTGGTTTAGTGACGGTAAAGCTAGTGCAGAAAATGGTTACTTGCAACTGAAGGAAGCCGGTCGAGCTTAGGAACTGGTAGCAGTTCAGCATTGAGAAGGGAAAAACAGCAATACCCAGTGGACAATGAGCTGCTAAAGGTTACTGTTTGTGATGGCCCTGAACAGATTCGATGAAACTAGGTGTTTGTGATATGAATTGAGCAGAGAAATGAAGGGTGAACTGTACCGGATTCTGTCGACATTCTTTCCTCGTATGCATCGCACAGATCAGCAAGAAAAGCGTTCTTGTATGACCACAGTTGCATTTTATTTGATGATGGTGGTGGAAATGTTCTATGTTGGTCTGTCTCGGACAACTTACAGGGCTGAATGGTGAAAATGTTGTTCGCTGAATGGCCATTGCAGTAACTGGATGACGGTGGAGAAGATATTGCAAAATTACGTATAGGGACCACATTCAAAGCCGAAGATGGCCATTACTGTCGGCTCCTACTAAAACTACTGAAAAGTTTCGCACGGGGACTCAACAGCAGCAAAAGACTAGTCTACTCCGGTTGTTGAATCTCGGGATCTTCGTGGATTCGAATTACTTTCGGTGTTTCACCTGACTGATGAGGGTGTGAACTTGGTCGTTATGGCTAATAAACATGGGAGGCCTATCCAGGTGACTTGAAATGGAATTCTAGGTAGAAGATGTTCTCATGTCTTGAGGCAATGTCCTGAAAAAAGGCAAAATATTCGAAGAAGTTAAGAGTAGATGAGCAAAATCATCCTGATATCTTCCTTGAGATCCCACAGCCACACTGTATTTTCTAACTCGAAAATGATGTCTAGACGCTCAGTTTAATCTGTCGAAGGGATGTCCTCGAAGAGATCATCTGGGTTCATTAAGTTTTAGAATCTCATATGCTTCTTACGGAATAGACTAAATTTTTACTTCATTAAGCGAGAATTTTGGCTGTATTCTTCGTAGTAGTTGTGCTTGGATGGAAATTGGTGACAACCACTTATGATCTCCATTTCAGATCAAAGTAGGACTTATTCCAGTCTCAATATGCTACCAAGAACTGTCTACCAATTGTGTGAATTGCCAAAATTTAGAAGCTTTAAGACGTTTTGCTTCATTTATGATGCACTTCGTGTGGCCTGCAAAACTTTGAACTCAAATTCTCTCGGCTGCCGTAGTACCTCGAGGTGTTTCTGGTCTTTAAAGAAGTGAATTGCTTCATGGTCAGCATGCTGACTGACTTTTGCGAAGCCCAATCTTCTGTGATATCTCAAACCATTCAGAAATTGACCCACACTAAAAGCATGATCAATGCAACATATGAAAAGGCAAATACACAGCTACATCCGCAGCACAGGTAGCAATAACGGGAAACTCAAACCACAAAGATCCTGGTAGATTATCATGCTCCCAGCACATTAGTCATACTACAGTAGATAAGACAGCATAATCATATATTATCAGTAAAAAATCTTTAATTTTCCGGTAGCACCCAAGAACAAGAAAGAAACACGATATCATACTTCTCTCGGGATTGTTTGGGAAGCGACATACCATGGAGCTTGCAATCTTGTCACGGTACTGCAGACCTCGAAGAAGGAATCCCAAAACCAAAGGTACGCGAAAAAAAAAAGTTCTCTTATCACGTTCCAACAGAGTGAAACAGCCTACGAACATTCTGATCGCTCAACGAGATACGTTCACTATCCAACACTTGGATGAATATGAGCAAAGGTTATTAACAAGAATTTTCCGCCATACTAAGCTACGGCAGACAAGTGCTGAGCAAGTATGCGAAACGCACTCCTGCAAACACTTGTTATTCGAATCGCCAAGCAGAAAGAGAATGAATAGGCGTGCCCTTCCACCCGATAATCAGGCATTTTCTGTTCATGTCAAGCGTGCAAGAACTTCCACAAGAAAATTTCTTTACCATCAAATCTGCTTGATATAGCGATGCCATGCCCAAATCTACCTCGACCATTCCAAATCGACTGAAGAACGCCCTCCAGACATCGACTTTTACAGGCCGAATATTCCTTTCCTCTCCTTCAGCAGCAAGTATGATCCTAATTCCTTGGGCTATGTGCAGAGATTCGATGACGGTTCTGTTCTCATCATCTCGTTCCATACACTCTTCGAAACAATCGAAATATGCACTATGGTAGAAAAGCGCTTCAGTGAACCGGTTTACGAAAGCTGGTGAGTTGTGGTTTGACTCAATTTCGTAAACCACCATCACACATGGGTTCAGCTTTTTAATCACTTTCATGACAGACTCAAGCCTCTCAGGCCGAGAAATCATCGTGTGAAGGAGGAACCGGGCATAGACAATAATGGATTCTTCCTCATCCAGATCGAAAAGATCTTCCTTGAGTTCTAGCATGTCCCGCAACATGATTATTTTGAAAGAAAAGGGAACATTGAACATTCGAGCGAAAGTCTCCAGCCTTTTACCTGTGTCCTCGATCACTTGCTGCGAACAAGTACCTACCGCCGTTATCTTCAACAGCTCAAGGGAGCACTCACGTCGAGCCACGAGGGCTTGCATTAGGACCGTCCAGTGGACGCCGCTCTGTATCCTGAAGTCAACCACATGAACTTTCTTAGCCTCTGCCACATTCTCCATGATGGTCTGTATTGCGGGAAATTGCTGGATCTGAGAGAACGGGACTAGTTGGTGAGTCGCGATGAACGGAGGGCTCAGCCTCATGATGTCTTTGTCTTTGTCTACATCAAGGGCCATCCTCTTTCCCAGGCCCTTTATGCTGACTCTCCCCGTTTCCCGATCGATCTTCTCCCTAAGGGCTTCGGAAAAATAGTACACGACTCGTTCCACCGGATTTCCTGTGCTGCAGCACAGCTCATCACTCTGGTCGAGCAATTCGCTTGCCGCATCAAACTGCTGACATCCCACTTTCTCAGCAGCAGCTAGGAGGATCTCGGCAAGTTGCACGTTCCTTATCTCGTCTTTCGATAAGCATGAGAAGTAATAATAGTAAGGATGGCCTGGCAGCGCAAGATCATCGGCTGCCCCAGAAGACGACTGGATAAATTTGGCGCTAGCAATCCTTATCATTTCAGAAGTTGACAGCTCCGTCTTTCTGCGCTCAGTGTGTGGCTCGAGTACCCCATCCCCGCTCAGTCGTTTAATCCCGCTACCATAGCTTCTCAGAAGCTCGAGCGATGTTGAAGAAAACTGGAAGGGCTTGTCCTTCCTGGTCTCAATGATATCTTGTAGCTCGGTAGAGATTCTGCTGAACTTTGCGATTTCGTCTAGACAAGTCTGGATCGGCGGAGAGAGAATGTCGTATCGCAGATTATCGAGAAGCCCATATTCCGAAAACGATTGTTGTAGCTGCTCTCGCTGCTGATACTCGGAAAAAGGAGCTTGCTCCTTCGTCTTGTCATTGTGATGGACTCCGTAATATGAAAAAGAGCTGATGTCCCCGGATTCTCCCCAATCTTCCCCTTCAGAAAACGGAATTTGCATTCTTTCTCCTTTGATGCTTCCGTAGCTTTGGTTCGATGAACTCAACTTGTCCTCAACTCCGCAATAGCTGTGTTCTGCAGAATCAAACGCTGAACTTGCCATCTAAAAACTGCAAACTTTGCTCGCAGTTTGTTATCCAGACTGTACCTATGATATGATAGTGAATAAATACACAATACAAGTGGCGTGTATTCGTATATAACAAGAAGCAACAAGGGTACTAATGTAACATTAGTAATGTTCTACTCAAGATTCCCTCCAGGACGTCCTTTATTTTAGGAAAAATACCTCGGAAGATTCTCAGTTTGAAGGAGTGACTTCAATAGCGTGTATTTTGACATTATCGAGACAACATGCGTAGTAGGCAATAGATATCAACGGTATGGTTCTTGCACGGTTGATTTTCTTGGGACCACAGCCAATTTTCCTAAGCTGATCGGTTGAGGGACACTATATGAACGTAAAGCTTATTAAATTAGATGTTCTAACACCCCTCTCACGTGCAAATAGAATTAACAACAAAATGTGGAATTGATGAATGGGTAGCCTCGTACGTGAGGCAAATTTGAGTCAAACCATGTTAGAAGGCCAAACCTCAAAGCTTAAGCCGATAGGTGAAGGGACACTAAATGAATATGAGGCCCATCGAAACTCCATAGTCAAGCGATGTACAACTCTCAACATGGGTGATGGCAATTATATATTTTGCAAGTCTTGAAAATTATGGTTTTTGCTCCTAAAACACATTTTTATCAAGACACTAGGCACGATAAATAGTTTGATGAGCAGTTTTCATATGACAAACGAGATTAACCAAATAGGTCATGGAGCAGGACCTTCTTCGGAGAATTTTAATCAGCTTTGAAAACAACCCAGACGGGCTTTGCCTGGCTTTATCTGATATGGTTATGTATAAACAAACCCCCTTTCAGTTTTACATCAGAAAGACAAAGACATGAAGATAAAACCAGCAAAAGATAAGACATAATTGTAGCTAGTCTAACGTGTTAGACTACTGATGCAATATATAGTTCAGATCGCAACGCGTTTGAGGGCCAAACTCAAGGTCATGAACGAAAGATATCGATAATAAACTTACATGCCGTGATGATGCGACGTATGGGAAGCAAGCAAACAAATGCTGTACAGGGTACACATAAATAAAAGAACACAATTCTCGCGACATCGGAGAACAGATAAACGCAACGCTTACTTGCATGCTCACAAAAACTGAATTAAAAAAAAAAGTTTCAATGGAAGTTTGAATTAATACTTTGTCCAGTTTAGGGCCGGAAATGCGAGAATAAATTATTCATGCAGATATTCTGCCGGACGACCATTTCTGTCTTGCGAACATTAAACTATTCCCTGTGTATCAGCCGAACGTCATGAATCGTAAAAACAGGAAGAGACAAAACATCTCGAAGGACTGAAAATGCTGATCCGAATTGCAATGCCTTAAATATTTGTCCCGCAAGCTTTTACTGCCGGAAATCGGATTAATGCTCCTCAAACTATTCCGTAAGGAATCTGCCAGAGAACAAGCCTTGCCGAACTCAAGCCACAACAATGATCTTCACGCCTCAAATCTATTTTTTTCTCACCACCTCTCGAGTCACAACTATTATAGATTTATTAAAGTGCTGTCGAGGAATTCCATCTAAGATAGATAGGTACCGAGCTTGGCTCAGAAGCGAGTCAAAATCCAGGCAGCTAGTAGCCCAAATATGAGACCACTTTCACTTAGTGGTCAAAAGAATCGAGTCAATCGATGTCCACACATTCACAACCATCCTTAGCTGCTAAGCCAATCCGAATTAATTCTCTAACTTGAGAAAACATTTCCAACATGGAGGGTCTGAAAGAATAAATGGATCTGAGAACAAAGCAACTGCAAAAGGACAGACTTCTCAGAGCGCTTAATATTGTCCGAAGCGTACGAGAGAGTGAGCCGAAAGAATCACAGCTGACTTTCGTCGATTTCTCTTTATCGCTTCCTCGGACATTGCCGCGACAGGACGGCCAAACCCTAGGCAGATTCGATGTTGGTAAAGATAAATGTGACTTGGGTTTTGCCCGAGATTGAATAAGTGGATCAATAGTTGGATTGTCTCAAATGGGCAGGGTCGACTTTCTCTTCGTCGCTTCCTTAGACATTGCCCCGACAGGACAGCCGACACCAACATAGATTTGATGTCTCGGTAAAGACAAACACGACTTCGGTTTAGCCGAGATTGAATGTGTGTATCAATAGCTGGATCGTCTCAAATGAGCAGGGTCACTTTCCTTGGCTATCTCTCTCAAGGTAAGGGAAGACCAGACAAAATGCTTGTTTTCGTTTTGAGATGCTAATCATAATATAGAAACTTAATGAGAAAAACTCTGTACAAGCTCTTCCCCCCTGTTCTGGCTGGTATTTGTACCTTAAAAGAAGTCTTTGGACATCATCTTTGTTTATTTTCGTGCAAGTGCTGTGTATATCTATAAGCCATTAATCACAGGCTTGGCAAAACACATCCCTCATCATATACTGAAGAGAGAGATCGCGACCAGAAAATCGACCAAGAGGTTTGATACGAGAGATTGAGTGGTGGTCGATATCCGAGTCACAAGACAATAAATTTCAAAGAAAAGCAGATGAGCAAGTATGCAATGACCATGTTATATGTATTAGACCGTATGAGTTGACATTTATCTCATTAGATTTGACAGTTCAAACGCGATTGATTCTCTCTCTAACAGAAGAAGAAGCCCAAAAACTTGGTTAAGAAGGCCCATTCTTTTCAAAAAATTTCACAAGAAAAGAAGATTTTATTTTTTTTCTGGTCTTAAAAGAAATTGTTAATTTTTTCTGGTCTTAAAAGAGAATGTATTTGCTTTTCTTGTAACACCGGCATAAATTTGGAGGTTTTGGTGATAAAAAAATTTGAAATATGCATGTCATGATAAACATAATTTTAGGATTTTGAGTGATATGATAAAAAATTTAGGGTATTTAACCCTTTACTTTTTGCCAGCAAGCGACGATTTCCAAGTTCACTCACGAAATCACGTAAAAAGAGAGTATTACCTTGTTGTCCAATCATGTTGCGCCACTTCATCCAACTTGCCACCACTTGACACGTAAGTCAAGAGGACAGGGTCATATATCTCTCGTCCCAAGTCAAATCTCAACAACACAAAATGAAAAGATGATTATTTTCCTCACGATTTATGTAACGATCCGGTTCAACGAGAGCAAGGATTGATCGCTAGAGCTATAGGGCTCGGATAATAAGTGACTCGTGGCAAACTTTTAGGATAGTGAAAGGGGTAGAGTTGAACCGAATTGCACACCAAACAGAGAAAAAATTTTTTGGATATATGAAAACTGGAATTAACTTACGAATGCACCTTTTGACGTAACAACAAGCTTATCATTAGTATTCCAATGTTAAGCGTGATTAGGTGGGAGTACTACTATGATGGATGACCTCTTGAAAAAATACCCACCTATATGCCAAATGACAAACTCGGTATAAGACGAGTAAAAATGGACAATACCTCATATAAGTTAATTTTAAGTATGATATAATATGGTATCAAAGCGAAATCATCCAGTAAAGGCCCGTTTGGTAACGTGCCAAACAGTGAAAATTTCTGTTCTTTTGTTCCCAGAAATAGTTTGGGAACAGAAATGCGTTTAGTAAACTTTTTGTTGCCGGGCACATTTTTGCAAAAAATTGTACCCAGAAACAGTTTTGGAAGAGAAATAAGAAGTAAAAAAAAGTTGTTTCTTATTTCTCGGCACAATTTTGAGAATGAGTTCTTTTTCTTTTTTTTCTTTTCTTCTTTGTGTTGTTCTTCCCTGGGTTGTGGCCGGTCGCCGGCGACTGGCCATAGCCCAGGGCCGACGAGGGCGTCACGGCCCTCGCCGTCGAGGGTGAGGGCTGGACCCTCGCCGCCTGGGCGAGGCGGCTCGCCGTCGATCATGGCGAGGTCGGCCTCGCCCAGATCGGGCGAGGCCGAGCCTCGCCGTCGCGACCCACGGTGAGGTCGACCTCGTCGTCGCGACCCACGGCGAAGCCGACCTCGTCGTCGCGACCCACGGCGAAGCCGACCTCGCCGTCGCGACCGACAACGAGGCTCGGCCTTGCTTGATTTGAGCAAGGCCGGTGGTGAGGTAGGCGTCCAGGGCGGCGGCGAGGGCCGTGACGCCCTGGCCTGTGGCCGGTGGCCGGCGCCGGCGACCGGTTATGGCCAAAGAAGGGAAGGGTAGAAAGGAAAAAAAAAGAAAAAAATATTAAATAATTTAAAATATTATTAATAAAAAGAAATTTTGTATAGTTACCAAACGTATTTACGTTCTTTTCTATCCCAGGAATAGAAATTTTGGACATTCTACAATGTCTTCAAATGCTTTCAAATTATTTCCGGCAAGAGAATAAAAAGAATCATTTCTGAGTAGAAATAGTTTCTGGGCATAAAATGATTGTCATGCGCACCCTAAGTGTGTGGTCTGAGGACAGTGGTTTCAGAAGTGGAAAGCTCTGCCTTTTTGTTCTCAGTGTTCTGATTGAGTACCCCATCCCCGCTCATTCGTTTAAACCCACTCCTACAGCTCCTCAGAAGCTCGAGTGAAGTTAAAGAAAACTGCAAGGGCTTGTCCTTCCTTGCCTCTATGATATCTTGCAGCTCGGTAGAGATTCTGCTGAACTTTGCGATCTCGTCTAGACTAGTCTGGATAGGGGGAGAGGCAATATCGTATCGCAGATTATCGAGGAGCCCATAATCTGAAAACAATTGTTGTTGCTGCTCTCGCTGCTGATACTCGGAAAAAGGAGCTTGCTGCGTCATCATGACACTGCGATGAAATCCGTAATCTGAAAAAGAGCTGATGTCCCCGGACTCTCCCCAATCTTCTGCTTCTGAGCACATGATTTGCATTCTTTCTCCTTCAATGCTTCCGTAGCTTCGGTTCGAAGAACTCAACTTGTCCTCGACTCCGTAAAAGCTGTGTTCTGCAGAATCAAACGCTGAACTTGCCATCTAAAACTGCAAACATTGCTCACAATTAGTTATCCAGATTGTAACCGTGCTATGATGCTGAATAAATACACGAT